CAAGCCGTGATTGGTGGAGAGGACTCGCCGTCTGGAGGAGTGCCAGGGGGGGTGCAGGCCAAAAGGTGAGCGAATGAATGTAGGTCAAGATGCACGGTGCCGGTGTGTGACTGGGGTGGTGTGTGACGTTGCAGTGGTCGAGTCGTGAAGGAACAGACAGACGGCAGCAAGCCCCCGGGACAACCGGTACAGAAGCAGAACATCAGGCCGGAGGCCCGGGTAGGTCGTTGACGTATCGCAAACTCGAGAGATAAGTCATACGCCATTCATTTTGTGACTGACGAGCAGGGTCGGTGTATCGAGGCAGCAAACAAGATTGTGGACGAGTTTAGCTTTGGAAATTTCGTCTATCCAGGGGAGGAAAAAGGGCCTGGATACACGTGGCAACAGGTAGGTGACGCAAACTCGTCACGCTCGAAGGAAAAAACCTCTGTATGGCGTGTAGTTGAAGACCTGGTGTCTGCGGAGGCAAGGGAGCTCGGCCTTCAGGGGAGTGGTGGAGATGATGCTGGAGGAGGGCTACCTCAATACGCCGGTTCAAGATGAGGGGGTGCAATGGAAGTTGACGGACGAGCCCGACCAACAAGATATCGAATCGATGGTTGATAAAAGGATCTTGCGTGATCCAGTCGGTGCGCCACACTGACCCAATCGATGAGTGTTGGTCTCTTGTGTATTGTTGGCCACATGGATGAAGTGAAGTAGATGAGGCACAGCGGCTGAGAATGCCTCTGAGGGACGAACTCCACCATACATGCAGACACAGAGACGGAGACACAACGGACGACATAAGGAAAACGCCCAGCGACCCTACAAAGACCAACAGCAAGGCGGAACGAGACCGACCTTTTTCCGTCCTTTTTTGTGGAGGGACCGCTGCCTCCATAATTACCGACACTAGGAAGGGAACTCCAGGGTTTGGGTTTGGCCGTGGGGGTTCGAACCGTGAGTGTCAGAAGGCCAGCGTGACGCAGCAATTGTTGTGTCATTGATTCACGGTACATATGTATGCATTCAAGGAGAGCACAGAGCAGCACGAAGGCCAGCATCGGCTGCGACGGCTACAGATAGGCGATTACGGCTACAGTTGTGAAAAAACGGGGCCCAAATGAGAACACGCATATGCGCAAGTCTTTCTTACCCTTCTGTCTCTATCTCCTTGAACTCCTTCAAAATGTGACACAGATGAGAAGATAGAAACGCCGTATGGTGATGCAGGAAGCCAGCCGGCCGCCACACCCCCTCTGGTCGTCGGGGGTGTGGGGCCGGCTGGCCCTATGCATGTTCGTCTCCCACCATACTCGCATTGGTGCAGAGCGAGGGGATGATATCTATTATGCAGTGATTGCATACTCCAGACACCGACAGGACATCTTGTAAAAAACAGAGGAGAGACGGAGACAAAGCCAGGGTCTGCTTGTCTTCTCTTGTGGGCTAAAGGCGTAGGACCCAATGGTTTACGCGACTGGTCAGCAGCTAAGGCCTCTGCAGTGTGAGGAATATGTACGCAGTAGCGAGGTGGGGAAGCCTCCCCTGATCGAACTTCTCGGAGGCGCGCTTGCCACAGCGGTGGTGGCGCGATGGTCGCTGGCCTCCCGGCGAGAAAGAGAAGCTGCACTCCGTTCTGGATGAGCTGTGTACCAAGCATAGTCATGCGTACAGCAGCTGGTTGCAGACTACCACCGATGACCCCATTATAGTGATGCTCCGCACTTGACGTACTTCTCAATGCCCACACCGCTCATCGCCTGTCGGGGTACTCAACATAAGAAGAGCAGCAACACAGACTACTGCCTTCTTTGTGTCCGGTGTGCTGTCCTTGTCTACGTGCTGTTCTTGTGTACGTGCTGTTCCTCAGGACGGACCATGACGAAGACGGCCGATGATGACAGCCACCACCCAACACACCACACACACACACCATCTGGCAACCAAAACAAAGACGTCATGCCGGATCACTCTGCTGTTGACCTGCAAACGCATATGAAACACACGTGTCCAGCCCCCTCTACCGACCCTCATCCCGCGAGACGGCGGCGGGCTCCCCTGTTGCGCATGCAACGCGAAAGGGAAGTCTGCGCTGTCCACATGCAGCCGGAGATGTGACTGCCGGGACAAGAACCGCCTTTGCACTAACTGCGTCAGCTGCAAGCGCGGCACGTGCACGAATTTTGCGTATCCCGCGGACCCGGCTGTTTGCGATGATGATGATGAATCGGATGCCATCTCCCCCTCTGCTGGCCCTGCCGTGCCCTCCACGGCTTCCTTTGTCAATGACAAGATGCGCGAGGCCTTCGGCGAGCCCCTCGTCAACTCCACCAGTGGATCGACTTTCCCTGAGTGGGAGGCGTATCACAAGCGGGTCTGCCAGCTTCGGCTCCGGTGCGTGAAGGACTTCAGCAAGCTTGGCAACCTTGGCCGCGCCATCGCTGATGCCATCGCTGATGCCATCGCTGATGCAATCGTTTGGCAATGATGCATCCCCGCTGTTGATGCCCTGAGCAAAACCCCGTCGCCGTACAATGCAGAGAAGATGCAGCGACAGATTCGGCCTCCAAGCACTCAGTAGTTTGCCATAGGAGCACGACAGCAAAACCCTGGGCGTAAGAGGAGAAAGCAACGTACGTCTCAGCAGTCATGTGCCTGTGCGTGAGTGTCTTTCTTGGCAGACAGTCACCCAGAACTGCCCGACAGCGACGGCCGCCAGGGTCGCCAGCGCGAATCGACATCAGGTGAGGTACCACGTGCATACACACGACACACACACACACACACACGCACACACACACACATCTCCCACACAACGACGCCTCTCTCATCTGTGTCTGCAGAGTTCGGCGACGTCATCGACACAAACGACAAGGACGCCGTCCAACGATGGGCTGCTGTCGTCAAGGCTCTGGGCAAGCACCTCAGGAGCGTGGACCAATCGGCTTTCGTGCCAATAGGCTCGAGATCAAGAAGCCACACTCTTCTCATCGGTCATTTTTCGTTGACAGAAGCTATCTGTGTATGTTTCTTGATCCGCTGCATGGTTCATGATTCGTGTATTTCATCCCCACTGCACAATACCTGCCGTCCCTTCATGATTTGTGGTGTGCGTCTTCTGCTCACCTGTGAGGTATTCTCTGTCTCTTCGTCTTCGTACCTCTCTCTCATGACACACAGCTACAAAACGGAGAAGGACATGCTGAGTGAGCACATGTGTTCCTTTACTCATCGCATGAATGGTGTGGTCGACGTGTTCGTTGGACGCATCCGCATTCTCCGTCAAACGCGCAATCACCTCGATCACTTGAGGGGTCGTGCACCGCGCTCAGCTTGCTGGGCGCCTTACTCGCGAACGATACTGTAATGACAGAAATACGCCAAGCACCATCCGATGATTCCCTTCGATGTTGGTCATGTTTATCTCACTCGTCTTCCTTTTTGCCCTCCCTGAGAGGGTGGGATGTATGCTTTTTCATCTGCGGATGGACTGACTTTTCGTATTATTTGCGCACAAAGCTGCAAAAATTACCAAACAGTCCTGTCATTTGTGAGGGGCGCGCACAGTAATAAGCGGAACACGACGCGTCAACCCATCAGGAAGCCAAACAAACCAACCCCCCC